AAATAAGTAATAATTAAAAAATAAAAAAGATCTAATCACATCAGCATTTTTAACCTTTAATTAAATATCCTATCATCAGATAATCCCTACATTATTAAATCATTAGGTTTTATTCTTCACTAGAGCTGCAAGTACCCTTAGTAATGGAATCTCATTCATAAGTATTTTTACTTGTCACAGAAGACAATACTGAGCACATTTAAAACAGTCTGAATAGCTGACTTTGGCTTAACTGAATTATTTAGAAATGGGATTAAGAAAGAGCTATACATAACTATAGGGAACAGGTGATTCACCTTGCTAACACACTTCAAAGATATAATCTGTCACTTTGATAATGCTTTATCCCCAATTAATTGTGTCATCCCACGTCACATTTCAGGTGAGTCTACGTACTCCAGAGTAAGTACTATGCAATTACCTTGGCAATTAAAACAACAACAACAACAACAAACAGTGATTCAAAGGACACATTCCCAGGTGACTTAGGTGACTTGTAACTTCCAAAGCCCATTCACTATGGATGAATAGAAACTCTATCTAAATTAACTCTGAAATGAAAAATATTCTTTCCACAAATGGCATCCCCATAAAGGTGAAGTTTTTTCAAGATGAGCATTCTTTGGGCAAGATAGAGACAGCAAGGTAGCTAGGGGAATGGTACTGATGCAAGACCTTTGTTTTCTGGGGTTACTTGTATATTTTCAGAATCTCTGGTTTCAAAAACGTAGCATGACTGTCTTCCTGCTGTTTCTGCTCTGTATTAAACCCGTAATTTCACACACCCTCACCCTCCCTAACTAAAACTCATCCTGTCTTCCAAACAAATACTCCTGGGAACTCACTTCCTCCCTTTCTCAAGTTTTTGAAAATTAATAATGTGTAAGACTCTAGTATTACAATTCAAAAATAGGAAACGCAAATTACCGATAACAATCCAGCCTAAACACAGTTCTTCTATTTCCAAAAACTGAGCAAGAAATTTTATCAATAATATTGAGGTAATAGAAGTTACATAGAACCAGAATTGCTTTGATCCAAATACTCAGTTGCTACTCTAGACCATTCTGATGTTTTTTCTTGATCGAAATTCCCACTGTCTAGCTTCAAGCAACTTTTAACCCCCAAAGCATTAAGGGTGTACAGAAGATGAGGTGACCATATTCAAAGACGGACAGAGAAGTTAATCATGTCTCTGATGAATTAAAAAGCAAGAGTTCTCAAGGGAAATGAGGCCTGGGACTCGGTTCCTTAGAGCTTTCTGTCACTTAACCACATATGCCTTCCTCCAAATCAAGTTCAGTATTAAACTTCAAATATGACTGTACCTAAAGGTACCTAGTGTTTAAATGTCCATTATTTTTTCTAAAGCTTAACAGTAACTTTTCCTATCAGATTTGAAATTTTAAAACCATCTCTTTACCAAGAGCAAATCCCATCACCCACAGGTATTTTCCCGACACTAAAGCCCCCATTTTCTCCAACTTTACATCCATTAATACCCCCTACTGTCACTTGTTACAAGGGTAAAAATGCAGAAGGTAGAGCCCGACTCACAGGAAAGTGATATACAGGTGTCATGGGATGTGTATCTGTCCCGGACTGTTGCCTGTTCTGGCCTGCATGGCATCCCCATTGTGCACAACACTCACTCAAGACACTCCCTTCCTTTCTCTGGTTACTTCCCAAGGGTGCTAACTTTTGTCCACACAAACTGTTTCCACCAAATCTCAAAAGATTGCAGTTAAAAAACTGGAACATGACCTCATCTCTGTTACTTACTGACAGTATGATCATGAGTAGTTATTTCAATTCTCTGGGCCCCTTGTCCAATATCCATCAAGATGATAATAAACTGCTGTCCTTAAAGGACTACTAGGAATCCTGGGGAAGTACTCTACCAAAAAGTGAGAGGCAGATTAGAGCCCACCATGTCTATCTCATAAAAACTGGCAAAAATAAGGATGGCCCAAGTGCTTGGGCGCCTGCACCTGCGTGGGAGACTAGGTGGAAGCACCTGGCTCCTGGCTTCGCATCGGCGCAGCGCCGGCCGTAGCGGCCATTTTGGGGGGTGAACCAAGGGAAGGAAGATCTCTCTGTCTCTCTCTCTCACTGTCTAACTATCTCTCAAATTAAAAAAAAAAAAAAAAGCTGGCAAAAATATTGGGCTCAAAGTGATCCCATCTTGCAGATGGTATAGATAGAAGCAAAATCTGGAAATAAAATAAAGGGAGAGGCTGGAGAAGAGGAGCTTAAATTTGATAGTGGAAGGAGTGGCAGAGGGTGATGCTAAGATATAGCCCTGGAAGCTACTAAATATTAGATATTCTGTAACCCAAATGCTTTGGCAAAATGGTTTCCATTTAATTTACATTTTATAAGGTACGTTTTTCCCTTACTTGTGGCCACGTTCCAGAGAAAGAGTCTCATTATTAACTAATACTTTTTGTCTTGTTTCCCTATATAAACATCCCTTCCCACCAGATTTCATTGCAAGGATGTTCAAGAAACCATTCTGTTTCCCAGGCATCAGACACTTAAAGATGAAGGCACGAATGAATTTAGATGTGTCAATCATTACCTAACACAAAACCTGCCTCTTAGTCTCAACCACCCGTTAAAGGCAAAAGAGGAAAGGGAGACTAAAAAACAGCTGCCCAAACACTAACAATGGTTGCCTCTGAGTGACAAAATTAAGGATGACATTTTCTGCCACAGTACACTTCTGTCCTTTCCAAATTCTCGACAATGATCTGTTTGGTTTGGTTTGGTTTAAATATGGACACAAAAGAACATGTCCTTGAAGCTGGGAACTTCTATCTGCTAACAGCTTGGTACCGAATTTACTGTAATGAGACTCTGCTTGTGTACTTGTGGTATAAATTGTCCAATTATCTTTATGATAAAGAGAGAGAACGGGAGAGAAGGAGAGAGTGAGAGAGAGTTCCCACCCACTGGTTTAGTCCTCAAATGCCAGAAGCTGTCAATCCGGCGCTACCATGTGTATGGCAGGAATCCAATCACTCAAGTCACTACTGTTGCCTCCCAAGGTCGGCACTAGCAGGACGGTGGAATTTACGGTGGAGCCAAGACTTGAATCCAACCACTCCAATGTGGGATGCCAGCATCCTAACCAATAAGCAAAACGTCCCCACTGCGAAGCAGACTTTTAGTACAGTCATGAACCTCAGAAATAATCAAATGCAACATCTGCTTATTAAAGGTGCAAAACTGATTATCTCAAAAGTGAAGAGGAGAAGAGGGAAATGGAGAGTGAGGGAGGGAAGGTTGGAAAGGGAGAAGGGAAAGGAAAGAGAAAGGGAATATCATCACATTCTCAAAACTGTTACACCTGTCAAAAAGTACAAAAAAAAAATTTAAATAATCAAGGTGCACTATTTCAGCAGAGCTGAAAGGATTCAGATCACACAAACACCAACAGCTTCATGACTAAACCCCAGGTGCCTTGACTTCTGAGAGCTCCTTCCACTACGGCACTTGCTTGAACTTCAACTTCTTTAAATAAGTCCACCGTCATCTGGGGAGCACCGACGGTGGATGAGGTGCTACAGGAACGCAGAAACTGGAAAGACCTAGCTCCCGGACTAGAGAAAGTTTAAAATAAGATAGACCAATTTACAGGAATTCTGCTTTCATTACAGAAAACCTCGGTCCCTACTGGTAATCAAAATTTTCCTCCCTCCAAAGGGGTCAGCATTCAGCATTCTTTACCATTCTAGTAGCACTCACAAGCTATAGAGCCTCCATAATTGGGAAGGAAGGGGGTGAGGGGGTGGGGGCTACCATAATAAGTTAACTCCCACTGATCCTTCAAAACCTAACGTCCACTCTGCACTTGTACTGATCCTCTCCGGTGCCGTACACGGTGAGCATCCCTAATCCAAACACCCAAAAATCCAAAATGCTCCGAAATCTGAAACTTTTTGCGCACCGACACAAGCGGAAAATTCCACACCACGAAACTTTATTTCACGGACAAAATTATTAAAGGACCAAACTCAGCTTATGCATAGAAGGCCCCCGCAGGACCACACAAGGCAATTTCATGTCCTGACTCGGGTCCCGTCCCCAGGATTACCTCATTATATACATGCAAAGATTCCGAGGTCCAACACATCTCTGGCCTCAAGCATGTCTGACAAGGGCTACTCCAGCCGTTGCAGCCCCTGCACCTCCGAAAGGAGGAAAACACACTCACTTTTTACATTTTTAGTGGCCGCAGGGACCCGTGGTTTGGCCTCAGCGCCACAGGAACCCCCGTGGCTATGGGTGCACCTGCTTCTCCTCTGGCGGCGTTCAAGCGCCTTCTGCCCGCTCCAGCTCTCGGGCCAGGGCCGCCACTGCCCTCCACACCGCGGCCCCCGGCTGCTCCCTCCCGGGGAGCCCGACTTGGGGAAGGAGGCTGGGGCACCCCGGACGCCCGGCAGGCAGCTCGTCACCCCGCTTCAGGACCCGCCGCTCCCTGCAGCCCACTCCCCGCGGCGGCCGGCGGGGCTCGACCTGGGGAAGGGGCAGCGGAGACGCACCTGACGGACACGCGAGGGTCGCGGCTCTGAGGGGGCGGCGGGGCTGCCACACTCCCACGCGCGGGAGCGAAGCCGGGCCTCTCACGCCACGCCACTCACCAAATGGGAACGCTCGCCCCGGGAAGAGCCTACAGCATAGTCACTCACCTGCAAAGAGCCCACCAGCAGCAGCAGCTCCGCAGCCAGCGCCTCCTGGATTTCATCGCTGCCGCCGGCATCGAAGCTCTTTTCTAACCCCAGAGCCAAAGAGGGCTAGTCCTAGGGCCCTGCCTATTGGAGAATCTAGTTGTCACTCACTTTTGGCCCCGCCCCACTGCCCGGACTGTCCGAGGTCGCTTCCGTTTCCTAAATCGCCCGCGTAAGAAGGGACGCTCTGATAGGCTAGCTTCGGAGATGAACACACGCCCAGACCAATAGTAGGAGGGAGTCGACGCTGGTGGGCGGACCCAGGGAAGTAGAGAAACAAACCCGGGAGCGTCGCCGGCGTAATAGAAAAACCTGAAGGCTGGGGAATCTCTCAGCGCCTCGAAGTTCTAGAAGGTGTTTGGCGTCAGAAAAGAAACACCTGCGGACGACGAGGTGTCGCGGGCAATGTCGGAAGAGACGAGGTGACGTTGCTTTTACTCATGGGAAATGTACGGCTTCTCGCACAGGCGCTCGTCGTTTCAAGGGTTTGGTCGAGGAGAAACCTTGCCGGCGCCCCGCGGGGAGGCGGTACCCCGGCCCTGGTGTTACAGGGCTTCCCGTCAGGATTCCGAGGCGGGAGAAGGTGACGGTGGAGTGTGGCGTGAGGGAGCCCCAGTTACGGCGCACGAGAAGCCTAGAACCCGAGGCCTGGCGCGAGCCCCCCCAAGGCGGCAGGCCGGGGCTCCCACACGGGGTTTCCAAGCTCGGGCGAGAGAGGGCGGGAAGGGGGTGTGTGCGCGCCCGACCTCGCGGCTAGTTCCCCTTCTTGATGGCTGGCCGCCTCCCCAGCTCGCGTTCAGAGCCTTCGCCTTGGACAGCTTCCTGGTCCATCCTCATCCCCGGTCGCGCAGGCTCGCGACCAGCAGGCAGGCCTCGGGCGAGCGAGCGCGCTCGCGTCTCTGGAAACCTAACTTTGCCCATCTTGACTCAGCGGCACCCTGAGCGTCGCACGCAGTGGGACCCAGCCTCGGTGGCTGCTTCTCTGAGTTAGCCCTTTTTTGCACCAGGACAGCCCTCCCTAGGCCTGCAGCCGGCAGATCTTCACTTCCGGGAGAGACCAGCCAGGTCCCCGCAGGCGGTAGGTCCCTTCTGGGGCTCGCTGGCCTGTGACCTGCGGCCCGACCCGCTGGAACAGCTAGACCAGGCTGGCTCGGCTCTCAGGAGTGCAGCTTCCAAATCTTTCTCTTGCTGTTCTCCAGGTGGTCCGAAGCTCCCTTCTGAGAGTACCTACTGTTGGTGATCTGGAGTTACGGTAAGGACAGGCAGAGTCTGATGAGGTCAGTTGTCGCTCCTGGACTGGAGGGCTCATTGGATTTGGTTTTTGCTGTGACGGAGACCCACGGAAAGCCAGCTTGTTAGACAAAACCTTAGCAGTAGCAAACCTCTTCTGCCTTTTAGGAGCATGCCCAAGCGTATTTGATTGATGAATAAGTGGTTTTGATAGAAGAGGGAAGCAGTTTTATCAGTGTTTCTACCCAGTAAGTGTTAAAAAGCAAATTTTAGTCTGGAGCAAGCAGCGTCTTTGTTCGATACGTATCCATGGAGGCTGTTCGTGGAATTTCACGAGTCACTTTTGTCCCAGGGCAGCACTGTTATCCGTAGATATGTGTGTAACCGTACCGTATCCTGGGCCCTGTGTTCTGGTCCGTTCAGTGAACTGTCTCCCTTAGGAGCTTTAAATAATGAGATTCTGGCCCACAAAGATGATCATAAACCCGTTGAAGGCAAAGATGAATTCCAAAAGATACTCAAACTTGATTTTGGCAGGGCCTTAGAACGTAAATTCAGGTAAAGAAACTGAAACTTAAGTGATTTGCTCAGAATTGGTTGACTGGGGACAGAGCTGGCATAGGACGCAAGGTCACTAATTCATAACTTTGGGAAAATGGTTCTTCTTGCTACCTCCCACCTCCTCCTAAAAAATCAGTAATATATATATATATTTTAAAGTGGAATTAATTTTGAAATTAACTTTCACTAAGACCAATTATGACGAATTCAGTTCTGATACAGTATTTATTATGGACACTAGCAAATTATGAAGATTCAGGGCGGGCAATGTGGTGTAGCTGGTGAAGCCGCCACCTGAAGTGCCGGCATCCCATATGGGCGCCGGTTAGAGTTCCGGCTGCTCCACTTCTGATCCAGCTCTCTGCTGTGGCCTGGGAAAGCAGAAGATGGCTCAAGTCCTTGGGCCCTTGCGCCCACATGGGAGACCCGGAAGAAGCTCCTGGCTCTGGCTGTTGCAGCCACTTGGGGAGTGAACCAGCAGATAGAAGACCTCTTTCTCTCTGCCTCTGCCTCTCTCTCTCTGTAACTCTGCCTTTCAATTAAATAAATAAATCTTTAAAAAAAAAAAAAAAAGAACTCTGATTGACTTATTTATCTCAAACAACTTTTGGTATAGTCCTATTTTCATCCAAACAGGAAATGTAAACACAATAAATTATTATAACCATGTTGTCTCTGTCTTTCTGTTTTGAGTGTCAATATAAAAAATCAATATTAGCCCATATGGTATTCTAAGGATTAGTAGCAGATTGCCTTATTCGTGATCTGAATAAGATATTAATTTATGGTATATACATACTTGGTTAAAATAATTTCACAGCCATGTATACTGATCCCCTAGCTTTTTCCAGATAGGGCTGAACTGGTCCACCAAGCATCAAAATATCATCCACTAACCAGGCATATTCTCCCTTTTCCTGGCCTGGCAAAGCCATTGGCCCCTTCCCTTCGCCAAACAACAAAGCCAGTTAGTGCTGTATCCCATGTATAGGACCATTTTCTTGTCCCAGCTCTACCAAATCATCCTAGCATTGATTCTTTGCTGTCAATGTCAAATCTTCCGTCATACCCTACTTTCTAAAAGATCAGGTTAAAATCTGAAAATCTGCCACCCACAGTCTAATGTAATAGGCCCATGCCTGGACCCCACTGTTCACCTTCTAAGTACAGGACCCCCCTTTCCTGAAACTTAAAACATGGAAATGTTCTTAATATATTAGCCATTCAGATTCTGAATAGGGACCTTCAAGCTACTTGTCCCTTTGTGTCAAAAGTTAAAATTTATAATCCTTAGCCTCAGAGTGCTGTGAAGAATAATGGAGGCATAGATAGCTTTGACACCTCTGAAGAAGAGAATATGGAGAATAATTTTGGCATAGCTTTGACACCTCTGAAGTACCTTTTGTATGCCACTTCCTAGCACTAAGAACTTAAGGTATTTGATCTCAACCTCCGTATCATTCTGTGAAACAGATAAAACACCTAAATAGCCAACGTGCAAATCAAGTGGGATTATGTAGTATGTGCCTAGCAAATAGAAAGCATTCAGGAAATGATAGGTGTTGTTCTTAACAATTACGGTAATGATAAATGTATACAATGTTTAGTGTAAGAGCTCAGGGAAGCCTTGGCCTTGTGCTTTCCTCCCTGTCCTGTTCTTTGCTGAAGAAGACTTTTACAGAGATGGCCGTAAGATAGGGATTTCCCAGTTATCCTGCTGCCACCCGGAGAGGCAACTGGCAGGAAATGAATGTAAAGAGGGTACAGACTCAATGGCAGGACTGGGGCTTCTGACCTTGAAGTAGACGAAATTTCCCTACTGTGAGTATCAACATTGAGCGAACATCTTGAGGTATTAAGGGGCTTTATTTATTTCTTCCTGTTTTCAAATCTGGCATAAGGACAAGGGAAGAGGGAGGAAACTAGAAAACCAAGAAGTGCGTTTTTGTTTTACCAATTCTCTATCCTACTGCTCCAGAAGAACCTATTTCATGCTTTTCTGTGGCAGTGAATGAATTAGTCACAGTTTCTTCCCTGTGGAGCTGTTTTTTAAATGCTGTATCATTTATTTTAACTACATTGAAAAATGTGTTTATTGTATAAGGAAAAGATTACCTGTAATCCTGCCACTCAAATTTTTTTTTTTTCCAGAATTTACTTTTGACATTTTGTGTATCACTTTTTTCTGGAAATCAATTGTTAAAAAAGCTGGGAATAATAGTATATATGTGCATATATATGGTTTTATGGTATTTTTTTCACTTTGTTATGAACCTTTTCCCATATCGTTTAGACTTCAGTATGTAATTCCATTATGTAAATGTGCATCCTGGTATTATGTCTCCCAATTCAGCCAACACTCTATAGTCTTCAGCATTAAAGTGCTTTCAGTTTCTTGAAAAGATTCAAAGATTTGAATAGGCTGCTGCTTTCCCTAAATGACAGAGTGCCCTGGGAATGTCTTGAACCAATGGCAATGCTTGCTGGCTCCAGTCCTTCTTCCGGGAGACTACTAAAGTAGCCAGAAATTCTTTTCTCATGCCCTGGTATTACAGAGCTAAGCAAGGTGAAGACAGTGGCTACCACTAGAAGGTTTCCTTTGTCTCCTGTCACCCCAGGGTTTCCTATTTTTTTTTTTTTTAAACAGGCAGAGTGGACAGTGAGAGAGAGAGAGAGAAAGGTCTTCCTTTTGCCGTTGGTTCACCCTCCAATGGCCGCCGCGGCCAGCGCGCTGCGGCAGGCGCACCGCACTGATCCGATGGCAGGAGCCAGGAGCCAGGTGCTTTTCCTGGTCTCCCATGGGGTGCAGGGCCCAAGCACCTGGGCCATCCTCCACTGCACTCCCTGGCCACAGCAGAGAGCTGGCCTGGAAGAGGGGCAACCGGGGACAGAATCCGGCGCCCCAACCGGGACTAGAACCCGGTGTGCCGGCGCCGCAAGGCGGAGGATTAGCCTAGTGAGCCGCGGCGCCGGCCGGTTTCCTATTTTTTAATCTGAGTAAAGATACTTAGATGAGGAAAAATGGAGGGGTGGAATAGAATTCAGAGCTCTATCAGTTAAGCCTCACAAAACTTTTGGCTTCTATGCCTCCATTTTACAGAGGAGGAAAGTAAGGCTGAGAGAGAATCTGTCCAAATTGCACTGCTAGTTGAAAAATCAAGAGTTTCATTCAATAAAAGTTTATGGGTATAACTTCATTCTTTGCGGGAAATTAGTTGTCAGTATTCTAGATAAATTTCTTACTTGCACCACAAAAAACCAAATGAGCAAAAATGACTTGACTGTCCAAGAATTTCTTCTGCTTATGTGTTTCCCAAGTTGGCTAGCATTTTGCCAAAAGGACCATACCTTAATTCGTTGATGAAGAATCTGCTGACTTAGCTTATCCCCCATGCATTTGCTTATTTACTTAAAGAAGTAACCTCCCTGGAAGGTCAGACTCATAAATGAAGTACTAATAACCCTGCAACAATTTAGAACATTACACTTAATTTGTTTTCTTAACTTTATGAAGCATGTTTCCTTAGATTGATGATGTATAACTATATTTTTATGGCAGTAAGCCTGTTTTTCTGATTCTGCTAATAAACAGTCTGAAGGAACTTCTAAAAGTAGCTTTTCAGAATTGTTTAATGCCATGAAGCACCATTAAAATGGGCATATAACCTCTCAATATGACACGTTCAGAGAATAAGTGACACTTGTTTTGTAGTGTAATTTCTGGAATGTCTTGTTAAAGCCTCTTCACACAATCTAATAAAAATCTGTTTCAATCAAGGATATATGTTCTTAAATATTTCATTTCCATCTGCCCACCCACACTCACACACACACACCCCTAAACACCTACACACCACGTCACCTTAGCCCAGCTACCATCACCTCTTGTGTTTTCTCAGTAGCCTCCTGGCAAGTCTTGCTGAGTTCACTTCTACTCTCTTGGATAGCCAAGGTGATATTGGTAGGATGTCTTTGTGATTGTGTCACAATTAACCCCCTTCTCTAGCTTAGAAGAGTGGCTTGCCAGTGCTCCTAATCCTGACCCGTTTGTGATCAGAGTTTGCACATGTGTTTTCCCTGTTTAGAATGCTCTTCCCTTTCCTTACTTCATCCCTTCCCTCCTCCTTTCTCCATTGGTCTAATGCGCTCCTGTTCAATTTGGATATCAATTGAGTAATCATTTCCCAAGGAAAACCTAATCTTGCCTGCTTCATATTTCCTGTGTTAATTACATGTTGTCACAGCGCCAGGCAGCCCTTCTTTCTAAAACTTCACATCAGTGTCCTTACATTGCATATTAACTGCTCTACAAACTTCTTAAATGCATGGACCCTGTTGCTTTGATTTACCTCTGTTCCATATTAAGTGCTCAATCATATATTAACAAATGAGTACATCAAGTAAAAAGTAGACTAAATTCTCTCCTCCGTTATTTTTTGCTCAGTAACACATATATATACACTTACACAAATAAACAAGCACATGTCTTTTTAAAACTTTTTTGTGTTTGTACTGTAGAAGTTTATAAAATTAAAAAGTCACTCATGCATACATTTATTTTGTTAAATTGTATGTGTAGACTCAGAATGTTAATGCTGAAAGAAACCAAGAAATATAATTCAACTCTTATTTTTTTCTTAAAAATTTTTTGCATTTAAATGATACACAGTCTTGTAATAATTTGATATATAAAATATTGCAATGATAAAATCTTATTTCTTTGTGTTGGGAAGCTTCACACTCTTCTGGTTCTTTATAAAATATATAAAATTATTGTAAGGTATAGTCACCCTACCATACTGTAGATACTTTTTATTCCTCCTGTCTAACTATTTTGATAGTGGTTACCCAACCTCACTCTGGTCTCCCACCCTCACTCTACCCAGCAGCTCCTAGTCACCACTATTCTACTGTCTACTATGAAACAGTATTTTTTAGCTTCCACATGTGAGTGAGAACATGAATTATTTGTCTTTTCTGTGCCTGACTTCACTTACCATAATATCTTCCAGTTTCATCCATTCAACTCCCTTATTTTACAGTTGAGAAAAATTGATGCCCAACTTGGGCAAGAGGATTGCTAAGTTCAAAAATAGTTAATATGCAGAGTAAGAGTTTCCTAGCTCCCAGGCTGAATCTCTAATGGAAGCATATTGCCGGGGATTAATGACCCAGTGGAACTTAGAGACTCAGAAGTAAACAGTGCAGTGGGTAGGGGGCTGTGGAGCCAGTCTGCCTGGGTTGCAGAACTGACTGTTCCATACTCAGCATGTAATCTTGGGCTATTGTTTAACATCCCTGCCTTATTTCTTCAGTTGTGTAATGTAACTTGCTTAAAAGTTATTTAAGCAAGTTAATACGTAAAAGAGCTCAGTAAATTTTAGCTTTTAAAAGTGGCCATAATAGATTAAGGATCCACTATAATTCTTACATATAGGGTAAAATCGCCTCGTTGATTTTCTCTTGTTTTCTTCAGGAGAAAAACAGAGTGTGAAACTGGGAGGCCTTCATGGGGTGTGAAAAGCTGCTCCTAGCTGATAAGGTTTCAGGACCTACATGACGTAAAGAAAGACATGTGATCACTTGGTCAAAACAAGTGCCAGTGCACAGATGCCAGTCAGCTGAGATAACATAAAAGCTAAGGGGTTTGAAAAATACAGAGTGAAAAAACCTTAAATCTAAAGCAGTATAAAAAAATCACAACTTAGAACAAAAGATCTACTTCAAAACGAAATCATCTTTAAGCTTCTAAGTTTAGCCCTGTGGTATGAAATACTTTTTCACTGGGTGTAAGCATTTTTCAGACTACCTGATGTGCCAGGTAACACCTACCTTCCTTCCTTCCATCCATCCATCCATCCATCCATCCATTGATTTATGGGGCCAGCACTGTGTCACAGCAGGTTAATGCCCTGGCCTGAAAACACCAGCATGCCATATGGCCGTCTGTTCTAGTCCCGGCTGTTCCTCTTCCCATCCAGCTCTTTACTATGGCCTGGGATAGCAGTAGAAGATGGCCCAAGTCCTTGGGCCCCTGCACCCACATGGGAGACCCGAAAGAAGCTCCTGGCTCCTGGCTTTGGATCAGCACAGCTCCGGTCGTTGCGGCCATCTAGGGAGTGAACCAGCAATGGAAGACCTCTGTCTCTGTTTCTACCTCTCTCTGTAACTGTCTTTCAAATAAATAAAATAAATCTTTAAAAAATAAATCTTTAAAAAAAGAAAAGAGTGATTGATTTATTTGAAAGGCAGAGCAGCAGGGAGAGAGTGAGTGATCTTGCATCTGCTGGTTCATTTCCCAAATGGTTGCAAAGCCGCTTCCAAGCCAATCCAAAATCAGACCTCCATCCTGGTGTCCCACATGGATGGCAGGGACCCAAACACTTAGGCCATCTTCCACTGCCTTCCCAGGCTCGTTAGCAGGGAGCTGGATCAGAAGTGGAGCGGCCAGTACTTGAACCAGCACTTCGATATAAGATGCCAGCCCCATTACACCATTTAAAAATAGAACTTTGAGAGTTGTCATTTCTCTAGCTACTTCTAGGTATTACATCCAGAAAAAATCTACTTTAGCAATAGATCTATGACTCCAACATGAGTGAGACCAAACTCTTATGTTTCCCATTTGATCCTCACAGTATCCTTATAAAATAAATTTAGGAAATAGCTTGACTAGCTTCACTTATTATAAGTATCAAATAAGGAATAATTAGGGTAAGTAATTCATTACTAATCTTAATTGTTACCAACAACTGAATTTTGGTCTCTCCATGCCAGGTAAGTGTCGTAAGTAGTCCCCAGCGTTGTTGCTGTGTAACAGAAGACACAAATAGAAAAATTGCTGCTTGGCAAGCACATGATGTAAGAAATAACAAGAGAAAAAAAGTTAGTATGTTGTGTTCTTCCTACTAGTTGTGATCTATAACATGAGTAATGGCAAAGGCTCCCAAATTTCTTTCCCAAGTGACTACAGTTGTGACAGTTGAAGCAAAGTACTGCAATGCCAAGTGAGCTGTATTTCTCCACTGTTGGAACACTAATCAAGTTCATAGGCATCAGGCAGCATCTATAGCTTCCTAGAGCTTTCTTTCTGTAGAGTATTAACTTTAAGACAATAGGAAAACACCAGTGTTCTCAAGCTCCAGACCCAACTATTTGAGGGGTCAGAATTCATGAAGGAGGCCAGCATTGTGGCGTGGCAGGTGAGGCCTCTGCCTGTGGTGGCCACATCCCATGGAGGCGCCATCTCAAGTCATGGCTGCTCTGCTTCCAATCCAGCTCCCCGATAGTGCACCTGGAAGGGCAGCGGAGGATGGTCCAACTGCTTGGACCCCTGCACCCATGTAGGAGACCTGGAAGAAGCTCCTGGCTTTGGACTGGCCCAGATCCAGCCGATGTGGCCATCTGGGGAGTGGGCCGGTGGATGGAAGATTCTCTCTCTCTCTCTCTGTAACTTTGCCTTTTGAATTAATAAATAAATTTTTTTTAAAAAAATTCATGAAGGTATGTATTATGAAAAAATGATGTGTAGATTTCAAATTTTTGCACCAAATAAATTTGTTTTAATTCCATTTTTACATAG